CCACCTGAAAATGTCCTAGACAGAATTCATAGTTTTCAATACCTACCTTGGAGTCTTATGAAATTCAACACCATGCTTTCTTGATCGGATGCTCGCCACGAGAGTCGAGCAATGTCTCACAACACCCACATACATCCAAAAACCTAAACCTAAACCCTACACACTAAGGCTGCAAGGACAGACCCGCTGTATGCTGAATACTAAAGGGGCCTGAGTGATATGAATAGGGGTGCGGTATTTATGAACGAACCTATGCATATAGATATTTTAACTACAGGAAGGAACCCTGACGAATACTTTTACAAGTTGTTCCAGACCCTATACTACTTTGGTGAGCATGCCTTGCAGGGCCAATACCCTTGCAGTAACAAGCATACGGAAGGCACGTGCACAAAAAAAACTCACAATCACGAGCCCCTGGCAGTAAACGGGCGTTACCTCTATGGTGGATGCAAAGCCCTAAAGCCTAAACCCTACAGCCCTAAACCCTAAAGCCCTAAACCCCAAAGCCCTAAACCCGAGGAACCCGGAAGCTTGACCCTATGCTGCGGACGTCTTGCCCGGCCTCCGTCTCATAGACCCGAGCATGCCGCCTGGACACTCCAAGAACACCCAGCATCCCTTGCGAAAGAACAACCCTAAGCCCTAGACCTTTGAAGGAAAACTTAAAGGGAATCCTCTCTGATAGTTCGGTATAGTTGATCTACGGTGCCTTCCTTACTTTGGGTTCTTGTGAAGGAACTTGATTTAAGATCGCATTATAAGGAAACCCTTGCCCTTGCCCATTGTGCATTCTAGACCCGTATTGTGGTAACTCAAACTAAACTAGGTGTCGATTTCAACAGTCCCCAAGCTTACTTATACTTAGGGCTCTGTATTAAACAATAACGGTCAATCATGGAAACTGGAAATGACCCCCAAATCGACTCCTACGGTGGATGATCTAAATCCTGCATTACCCATAATAAGGAGTATACCATAATTCCCATAGTTTAGGGTCCTTAAGGTTATGCAGCCCTAATCCCTAAAATTTTAAACCCTAAAAGTTTCCCTTAAAGAACCCTTTACGGAACCCTATCAAGGAATCCTTGAGGTAATGCAGGGTTTATATCATCAGCAGATGGAACCCAGCACTTGGGACCCTTGCAAAAGCTGAAATCTTAACTGCTTTTCGGGGTTTAGGGTTTAGGATTTAAGCTATTGCTTGGGGTTTAAGGGTTTAGGACTTTGGCTGTTTCTCTGGGATGAAACTAACCAAAAATTAAAACTCACTTACAATACCCCTAAGAACCCAGCTAACTGGGAAATTTTGGGCACTCTGGGCTGCTGGCTTGGAGACCCAGAGAGGCCCAACACACGCACTTTAAGGAATATGGGTAATTCTCTGTTCTTCGCCTCGGCCCCAAAGGTTCGGTTTAGAGTTTAAGGTTTAGGGTTTAGGGTTTAGGGTTTCTTGATATTCCAACCCCCACTCGAAACAGCTATCGTGGGTGGGGCGTTCGTCTCTGTGAACCCATCAACGAGCCCCAAGGTCCTGCGGTGAAATCTCGCCTCCTCCAATGGCTCTTTGTAGGGAGTCCCACCCACCGCCGCCTCCCCAATGCACCGCACCTCGACCAAAAAAAGTGCAAATGTCATTTGTACGCAATCTCCTCCCCTTCCCCGGTCCTCGTCCGCTCCGCCAACGGTGCCTTCAAGGCACCAGCAGTTCGTTGGCCCTCTTTGTTTGCAGCCGGGCAGAGGCGGACGACGCGAAGCGTTTAAATTTAGTATCCCCTTTAAGGGTTCCTGAAAGGTTCTTTTACGGGATCTACACGGTTCAGGCTTTCGGTTTAGAACTCGAGGGTAATTCTCTAAATTAGGGTCCCGTTTTAGGTCCTCAATACAGTATGGCGCCACTGTAAAAAGGGCCCTGAAAGGAACCCCAATTTAGGGAACTACCCATGTACACTAGATCACAATCTGAAGCCCTCTGAAATTCCGGGTGTTTCCCTTCTAACCCCGAGAGTAACCCGAAAAGCCCTACTTCAAATCCTATATAAAGTCCTTGAGAAGTTCAAGGTGCCTCTGCGTTATTGGAGTCATTTGGACTGTTTAGGCTTTATGGTTGAGGATTTTTGAACTAAACCCTAAACCCTAAGGGCCAAGGGTGGTGGTTTAGGGTTTAGTTTTTAGGGTTCAAAAAGGGTTGCACAAGGGTCTTATGTAGGGGTTTCCTCAAATAGGGGACCTTAATATCGTAGGATCCCTAATATAAGGATCCCAAAATAAGGTGCCCCTTACTTTCGGAAACTCCCATGCAGGGGTTCATATCCTATAAACCCCCTTTATAATGAAGCCCAATAAGGTCGGGATATCCCTATAAAACGCTTATGCTTATGTCTTTTTTGGGTTCCCAACATACAGGGCTTCAGGCTTTTAAGACGTACTCGCTGCCCGACAGGCAGAGAAATCCACGCCGGAGTCGCATCGCTACCATGAAAGAGCCTCCCAACAGCCTTCGTTAAGGCATATGGATAATATAGGGGCCTTCATAACTAGAAGAGGGTTTTGGGGTCCATTATACTATAATTGATTACTAGAATCATAATAAGGAAAGAGCCTCCCAAAAGCCTTCGTTAAGGCATATGCGTAGTTCTCTAAAGTAGGGTCCCTTGACGGGTCCTTTTTATAAGGGTGCCGTACTATATTGGGGTTAAAAAGGACCCGAATTTAGAGAACTACCCATATACGTCATATAGGGGCCTTGAGAAGTAGAATAGGGTCTGTTCTGTAAGGGCTACTAGAAGGATTAGGGGTATAGGGGCCTTAATAATTAGAATAGGGTTTTGGGGTCCATTATACTAGAACTATAGTAAGGAACCCCCCCAAAAGTATTGCACATGATGTGATTTACGGGGCCTACATTACTTCCTGACATGGGTGCCCACAAGACTTTCGGCAGAGATGTCTGACCAACAGTGATTTGTTTTCCTAAGCACTACGCGTCAGGCTCTTAACAGTTCCGGACTGTTGCCGGTAGCTTCGCAACATGTCTGCCTGGACTCTTATGACTCGTCTTATCATCGCCATGTTCATATAGTCATCAGTGCTGTAACCCTAAACCCTAAATTTCCAAATCTAGTGGAGGTACAAGAGAGTTTGCCTTCAGTGGCACCGATCGGAACTGCGAGGTTTAACATTCACATGATCATGGGGACTCTAAATCCTAATGCTGGTTTGGGGAGAAAACAAGAGGCACCTGCGCATCCCATATTGAGCCCCTGTGGTTGGCCTCATTTTTGCCTGAAGCCCTAAAGCTCTAAAACCTAAAACCCTAAAGCCCTAAACCCTAAAGCCCTGAGCCCTGAGCCCGAAACTCTAAAGCCCTAAACCCCAAAGCACTAAACCCTAAACCCCTACTTGGAGGGTCGGGAGACTTAGTACGTAGGTAATAAGTAGACTTATAAGTATCCTAAAAGGGACCCTAACTGGGGTTATAATACTTATAAGTCTATAAAATAACCATTTACTAAGTCCCCTAAACCCTAAACCCTGAACCCTTTAAGGGGTACCCCTAATAATACTACCTACCCTAAAGCCCTATGGGATCCTGCCCCCCCCGTGCCCCATGCCTGGGGGCAGCTGGAGGAGGAGCGGGAGGGAAGCCTCCAGGGGTTTAGGGTTTAGGGTTTAGGGTTTAGGGTTTTTTCAAGCAGACAGGGTTTAATGTAGGGGCCTTAAGAAGCAGAACAGGGTTTTCGGGGGCTCCCTTATGAGAATTATAGTATACTATACCTCCTAGTATATAGTATCATATACCCCCTAGTATATTAAGACCCCTAAACCCCTCAACCCGTAAGTAGCCTTTATAGAACCCTTTAAGGAACCCTTTAAAGCAACCCCCAAACCCTAGTCTAATTCTTAAAACCCCCCTGTATTAGGGTTAGTCCTGTGCCTATATGGGAGTTTCTGAAAATAGGGGACCCTAATATAGTACCCTAAATAATAGGACCCTCATTATAAGGACCCCAAAATAAGGGGTACCTTATTTTCGGAAACTCCCATCATAATATGAACCCCAAAAAGGAACTACTATGGGGCCTATGGGTAGACCCTAAACCCTAAACCCCAAACCCCTAAAGCCCTAAAGCCCTAATTTCAAAAAGGAACTACTATGGGGCCTATATACCTTAAATTATAATAGTATCCCTAATCTGATTTAAGGTATATTCCTTAATTAAGGGATATTGGGGTATCTTCATTCGCCGAGCCGGAGCTGGCTTCCTTCCCTGAAGCCGTGGCCGGAAGAGCTCAACGCACGGTTTAGGGTTTAGGGTTTAGAGTTTAGGGTTTAGGGTCTAGAGTTTAGGGTTTAGGGTTTAGGGTTTAGAGTTTAGGGTTTAGGGTTTAGGGGTTTAGGGTTTAGTCTTTCAACTGCACAACCCCGTGAGTAAAGATAAATGAATGGGCCTTGATGATTAAAACAGGGTTTTGGGGTGTAGCACACAAGAACTACTACTGCCACATAATAACACTAACAGTGCGGCGAATAATAATAACAACCACAACAGTTCCGATGCCTATATTAAACAAATTGAAATTTGGAAGCGCGTGCTTCTCGAAGCTCGTGCTGGCGGATGCCCTGCATTTGTGGTGTAAGTATCAAGCTCCTTTTCTCACGATGACTGCTGCGTTGGGGGCTTCGTTTTGTTGTAGTGCATGTCTGGTGCTAAAATTTTGCTATTAGCGTTCGCGCGTTTGCACACGCGCTGGCGTGTGTGCTTCTGTGTGTAACTTATAGATTTTTCGCGCCAGCAGCCTTCCTTTTGACATCTCCTAGCCACCCAAACCCTCAAAACCCCAAACACCCTTCACAAAAACGAGGCAAACGTCCGCAATGCACGCAAAGCTCAAAACACACCAAAAAGATCTACAAACTGCCAAGACACCTGAAGAAATTATCTGGCCTTCTGGTGTGGGAGGCAATGGAGACGCCGGTGCTGGCGGATGCGGAAGTGGCTCAAGATCGAACTGCGCAGGGAGAACTCTGCGTCTCTCAACTCGCGTGCGTGTGTGTGTGTGTGTGTGGGTGTGGTGCACACAAGTTGGAGGCATGTGTGTATGTCGGTACGTTGAAACGACGAAGCTCAAAAAAGATAAACACATAAAGTTAAGCTTATATATATATATATATATATAGAGGTACACATACATACATATGTATACACACATATATATATATAATATTAGCAACTACAAATCAAACATTGAACTACATAAACAAATAATTAAAACATACATATATATATATATATGTATACATACATACATATATATATATATATCAATCTGTTTGTCTGTCTGTCTGTCTGTCTGTCTATCTATCTATCCATCTATCTATCTGTGTATGTATGCATGCGTGCATGCATGCACGCACATGCACACACAGTAAGGTCTGCCTTCACCCCCCATAACCTGCCACCGAGAGCTCTGGAATATCCAACTTCGCATCTTGGTGAGACTACTACACCGAATCGGAAGTAATTTCATGAAACCCTAAAAACCCTAAACCCTAAACCTGAAACCCTAAACCTTAAACCCCTTAAGCCTAAACCCTAAACCCCAGAAGGAAGAGTTTGGAACGTTGAAACCCCAAAACAGCCGCCGGTATTGTTGGCCCAGGGTGAGACAAGAGAAAGGAGGTATCGGCAAGAGTTTGCAGTGTAGAGGGCTCAATGATTAGAACAGGGTGTGGGGTATATGGCAGTTTGAGATCTACTCGCAAGGATCTCAAGAAGAACCTCTGGAAACGGCTGTCTTAATCCATATCTTGGTAGGATACCTGTTTTATCGGTTCTGCCCTAAACAATAAACCCCAAACATCCTTCGAAGGTTTGGGACGTATAAAACCCATTGAAGACACCCCTGAGGCCCTCGTAGAAGCCCTTGTAGGAACCCTCATATTCAATCTTACAGGAAACCCTCAGAGAAGCGTTACAGGAACCTTCAAATGGGAACCCTAACGGGAATCCTAAACCTTAAACCCTAAACCCCAAAACCCCTAAACCCTCTAAAGCCCCAAACCCTAAACCCTCTAAACCCCCAAACCCCAAACCCTAAATCCTCTAAACCCCTAAACCCTCCCAGACCACCGGAAGGATCTAAAAAGTAGATCCCCGAATTTGGGACCCTATACTACTAAAGGGTACTTTAAAGGAACCCCCTTAGGGGATCTTTTTTTAGATCCTTTTGGCGGTCTGGGAACCCTAAACCCTAAACCCTAAAACCCTAAACCCCCAAACCCTAAACCCTAAATAGATCCCCTAAACCCTAAAACCCTAAGCCTTAGGGGATCTATTTTTTTAGATCCTTTCGGTGGTCCCAGAGACTCCAAAACCCCTTAATTAAGGAATATACCTTAAATCATATTAGGGATCCTACTATAATTTGAAATATATTCCTTCATTAACCCTAAACCCTAAACCCTAAGGGGTATTGGAGTCTCTGGGGTCTGGGCTAAAGAGCAGCTGAAGCTGCTGGGGCCCAGGATGTCCATTATAGGATCCTTAAGGGAGGGTGGCTCAAGGGGGGAGGGTCCTAGGGAGCCTTAGGGAACCTAAGGGAGTGCTAGGGAGTGTTGGGGATTACTGGGTTATATACCCCCCTCCGTAATGTCCAGGCTCGGGGAGGTCAGGGCCTGGGGCCTTGATAATTAGAATAGGAAGGGTTTAGGGTTTAGGGTTCAGGGTTCAAGGTTTTAGGGGTTTACGGGTTTGGGTTTAGGGTTTAGGGTTTTAGGGGTTTAGGGTTTAGGGTTTAGGGTCTAGGGTTTAGGGTTAACCCTAAACCCTAAACCCTAGGGTTTTTGGGCCCCTTTATAGTATAGTTAAGTTAAGGAACCCCCAAAATAGTACACGTGATACTTGAGGCCCCTACATGATATGGGTAATTCTGTAAATCAGGCTTTGGGTTTCGGGTTGAGGGCTTGGGGCTGTAAGAGTTCAGGGCTTGGGGTTTAGGCTTAGGGGTTTAAAGTTCAGGGTTTACGGCTTTGGGCTTAGTGATAAGGTCGGTAGGTTTTCAGGGTTCCAGGGTTAGGAGGTTTCGGCTTTTGGAGTTTAGGCTGGACGTAGCCCACAAACCTCTAACCTGAAGCCCTAAGCACGATGGCACCTCGCACATTTCCACGCAAGGGCGACACAATTTGCAGGCTCTCTTGCTATGGAACCCAGAGGCTCCAATATCCCTTAACTAAGGAATATAACTTTAATCATACTAGGTACTATAGTTTACGGTATGTTCCGTAATTCAAGGATATTGGAGTCTCTGGGGAAGCTGCCTCTAAAAACAGAAAGAGCCGCCAAACTCGAAGCAGCCCAAGAACGCTGCACTAGCGGGAGAAGCTTCCGGTTCCCTAAACCCTAAACCCTAAACCCTGAACCGTAGGGTTTAGGGTTTAGGGTTTGGGGTTTAGGGTTTAGGGCAACATAGGGGGTCTACACAAGTACATAAGTATAGGGGCCTTAATAATTAGAATAGGGTCTTGGGGCTCCTTTAAAGGGTTCTGTAAGGGCTACGATAAGGATTAGGGGTATAGGGGCCTTAATAATTAGAACAGGGCTTTGGGGGTACATGATACTATAACTATAATAAGCAACCCCTAAGCCCTAAACCCTAAACCCTAAACCCTAACCTCAAATAGTATAGGTAATTATGTAGGCCCCGATATCACTGCAGCGAAACAGGCCCACGTTCATAGAGCTTAGGAACTTCAGGTTCGGGATGAACGGTGTGTGGTATTAATATAGGGGCCTTAATAATTGGAATAGGGTTTGGGGTTTAGGGTTTAGGGCCACGGTTTAGGGTTTAGGGGGTTTGGGGGCACATTATACCGTGCGTATGATAAGGAACCCCGTATGGGTAACTATTATGAAGGCAATTAAGGCCCCTATGTTAGCCTTGCTCTGGTTTGCAGTGTCCCTGTACGTGCCGGCAGGAGCAGTGTGCTCACTGAGCTCCCCCAATGTGTTCCCTATGAAAAGCTTTGAACGGACAAGGGTTTCAGGGCCCTAACCCCTAAACACCCGGAACGCTGTTGAACGGTGTAGTGTCTGAGGATTTAGGGTAGGTGTTAGGGTTTAGGGTTTAGGGTTTAGGGCTCTAAACTCTCAACCCTGTTGGGCCTGCGGCTTTGCAGCCCTGAAGCGGCCCGAAAGACGTCAGGCAACACCCAAGAAACAAAGAAGTCGCACAAATTGAGCGCCTCACCCTACTTTTTGGATCGCAAGACATCCAAGAAGACCCAAGAAACAAACATGACGCACACTTTGAACGGCCTCACCCTACTTAGAGGATCAAGGGACTTGGTCACTAAAGTTATAAGTAACCTATTTGGGGTTCGTATAGTCACAATGCTGGTAAACATAGTTACTGAGTCCCATGATCCTTTATGTAAGATAACTGAATGTGTAACCCGCAGCAGCCCCAGCCCACATTTGTCACATGCGCCCTGTGCCCTAGTCATGTTCGGACTGTGTTGTAGTATGATCTGGCAATAACGGAAATTCATAACGAGCATGGCAAAACTACCAGACACATGGGTAGTTGTCAAAAATTAGGGTCCCTTTTGGGGTACCCTAAATAATAGGTGCCGTCTTATATTACGGACCCAAAAAGGGGACCCTAATTTTGACAACCAGACCACCATGCAAAAGGCATGTTCTTTTAGAACACGCAGCGCTGAATTGGACGCCAGCAGCTTCACACATTAGCGAAGATGCTGGCCAACGCGGTGAAGATTGAGCACTCTCCTTGTTTGCTCTGCCTCATCACATGGGGGTTTCCGAAAATAGGGGACCCTAATATAGTACCCTAATTAATAGGATCCCTATGATAAGGACCCCAAAATAAGGGACCCTAATTTTCTGAAACTCCCACATGGCCATATTTTAGACTCTCAGACTGTGTGCGTAAAGCGACTAGAAGAGGTGCAAGGGCGCGACCCCTCCCTGGAACGTAGTATAGCTGGTGGCATTCCTTAGGGTTGCTTCTTACACTTGTAGAATAACCGCCCCAAAACCCGACTATGGCCCCATAACCGCCCTGATAGTAACCCTTACAGAACCTTTTCAAGGAATTTGAATCATCATGGCCACTCTACTTCAAGGGTCATGGGACTCAGCAACTACGGTTATTAGCAAGGTAATCACACCAATAATTTCATATGAAAGCCCCCATTAGCGATTAGGGTACTCATAACCTTGCTTGCGGAGTCCAATGAACCCCCGAGTAGCCCCGAAAACGCATCCTCCCGAAACATGTGGGTCAAGACGGGGCGTTTTGTGGGGGGTTGTCCTTCTTTAGATCCTGTAGTACTTGGAGGTTCATGAGGCTTAGCAAGTAAGGTTGTGAGTACCTCAATTAGGGTTGTAAGTATTTATCAGTAAGGGGCCTGAACCCCAAACCCCTAAACCCTAAACCCTAAGCCCCTAAAACCAAAGCCCTAAACTCCTAAACCCTAAACCCCCTTCTGGGAAATTGGTGTTCAAGTTGACAGGGAGCGACGTGGGATGCACGTGATAGGACCATCTTCCTTACGCTGCAATATTACAAACCACTCTCGGAGCAAAGACGGCCAAAGACCCGTACACCCGAGCTGATGATATAGGGTTTAGGGTTTAGGGTTTCTCCAACAACCTGAACTCGGCAGGCTCAATCTTCGTGGCACTCTTTCTGGAACGGCCTCCAGAACATGGCAAAGTTGGTTTAGGGTTGTGGGTTTAGGGTTTAGGCTTGTGGGTTTAGGGTTTAGGCTTGTGGGTTTAGGGTTTGGGGTTGTGGGTTTAGGGTTTAAGGTTGCGGGTTTAGGGTTGTGCACCTCGTCGGATTCTGTCACGTCTTGTCAGGACACAAAAGCTTCCGCACGGTGCAGAGGGCGCTTTATGATTAAAGTTACCAATTCTGTTGTGGGGTTCGTTTATTAGAAACATAGTATACTGTACCCCAAACACTATTCTAATTCTTAAGGCCTCTCTATTACAGCCAATGTGAGATGCCCCATTCTCAAGCTGAAGCTTGAATGCTCCATCCTGAAAAGTTCATGAGACTTAGCAGCTAGCGTGAATTAAGGTGGTTATGATCTTGCTTACAAAGACACCCTAAACCCTAAACCCTAAACCCTAAACCCTAAAACCCTAAACCGTTTGCTTACAAAGACAGTATCGCTGGCTAGCTGGCAAAAAAAGGAACGGAGCCCGTTTTCGCAACCATCGGGTTCCCAGAGACTCCAATGCCCCTCAATAAAGGAATATACCTTAAATCTATAGTAGGATCCCTTATATGCTTTAAGGTATATTCCTTAATTAAGGGGTTTTGGAGTCTCTGGGTGAACCCTAAACCCTAAACCCTAACCCCTAACCCCCTAAACCCTTTGGCCTTCTTGGGCACCAGAACTTTTGGAAGGTTAACCTGTGAAAGGGCCCTACTCTCCATCTTGCGAGTGCAGATTCCCTGGTCTACAGCAAGCTCTTGTAGGGGCTTAATGTCGGGGCCTTGATGATTAGAATAGTGTTTTTGGGGGTATATTACACGATAGTTTTAATAAGGAGCCCCCAAAATGCTATAGCCAATCATTCAAGCTTCTATATTAAGCCCCAGTTCGGATTTAGGGTGCCGCAACCCTAAACCCTTTTCAGCATGGGCTTGGATTGTGTGCCAGCGAACTCACCTCAACAGCAGGGCCTTCGCGTTTAACGACGGATGCAACCGGAGGAGTGACAGAAACATAAGCATTAAGCAACCCTAAACCCTAAACCCTAAACCCTAGTTCGGATTTAGGGTTCGGATTTAGGGTGCCGCAGCCATGCTCTGGAGCAAGCTCATCGGTACCCGACCTCTTCAGCCACGGACTATGCAGCGGCCACCAGCACTTCCTCCTTGCGTCGCACCCCCCCCCCCGATCCCACATAAAGCCAAGCGCAAATGGCAGGAGCGATGCTGTATCCTGGACTGACCGTCATAGGGGTGTGACCTGTGCTGCTGCTGCGAGGTGGCATTTGCCATCGAAGCTGTTTTGCCGCATTGAGCTTCTCATGTCATTTTTGCTTGCTATTTTTTGCAGTGCTACTGGACATGTTGTTCTACTAACACATTGTGTCACTGGACGGACGTGAAGACAGACATGTGGGTGCAAAAAGGGACTGATAGAAACATTAACATGGAGAAGTGCACAGCTTGGTAAACAAGTAAGTCTGGAGCGAGCGAATGATTCTTAGCGCACTATGGGTTAGAGATGCTTCTTACGACCTGCCTGTTGGAACGGCAACGGCAGTCGACCGGCTTAGGATCTATCTCGAAATGTGTCCTGGAATCTGTTTTAATGGCCCGTACCCGGGAACAAGGCATTCACCCCCTCCCCCCTCACCCCGAGTCATTTTTTGAAATGCCGAATTAAGGTGCCGGGTCGGAGGGGTGTGTTTACGGTGCCTCGGGTTTCCCCATCTGAGGATTCTAGCTTCGAGCAGGCCTGCCCAGCTGCCAAGGCAAATCCCTCGGTAACCTCGACAGTGTCTGGAGTCGTGCAAGGGGAAGGGATTATATGCTAGAAGGTCCTCAGCCAAGCATACAAAGGAAGCGCAGAAAATGGTGTCCATGCTACAGGCCGTTCGAACTCCTTCACATCAGGACCGTCGCTGCTAGACTGGCCCAAGATTCATACACTGCTATCAGTACTAGCACTATCCGTGTTCTTGATATTACGGTTGCTCCACGTGGAAAGAAACCAGCTTCATGGCACTTCATGGCAACAGCGGCAAGGGACGCAATCACTTCCTTCTTTGCTTTCTTTCCTGCCACTGCCGTATCCACATGACAAACACTACGAGGGAGCACCGGTTCAGGAGTGGAGACAGAATTCCACAAACCTAAACATCAGGCTAGAAGCCCTCCTAAACTCTAAAGCTAAAACCTGGTTAACCCGTATTGTGGGAATTTCGAAGTCGGAGACCCTGAACGAGCTCTTCTGCACACCCATGACCAAGCGCCGTGCTGGATGCAGCGCGTTCCTGCGACGTGTGCTTCTGTCATAAACATCCATACCAGTCTTCAGTGGTGCATGTGACCTAAACCTTAAACCCTAAACCCAAGAGCCCTAAACCCTAAAGGCTCAAGGTTGAAGTTTTTGAAATCTCCCAAGCCAGATTGGGGTGCGTGGACATGTCCAGACATCTTCGCCTGTATCTAACCCCACCCCAGTGACAGGATGGATCACGGTGAAGGTCACGAAGCGCATCGAAAGACTTGGTCATAGGTAGCATATCCTGACACCCGATCTGAGTGTTTCAGCATAGCACAAAGCCCATGGTGCATCCTCTCCTGCTTCTAGGACACTTCTGGGGGAATGCAACAATGTGCTGCGAGATGGCAGAACACTTTAAACAACATGCAGAGTTTCTGCGCTGCAGTCTGCGTGCCGGCAAGGTCCGTGTGCATGCAAAAAGATGTACTGCTGAGATGACCAGAAACTGGTCGGCACTCTTTTTTTTGTACTTATGACACAATGACCACAGCTTGGTCAAAATCACCACCGTGATGATGATGATGATGTTCAGGATGACCATCATCACCATCTGTAGCAGCAGTTTACAAATGATAACAAGTGAGCACAGGTCTTGGTTGGGGTATGCTTCAGGCCGTCTAAACCTCTCGTTTAGCCATCGCAAGCAGCGGGCAGCACTACTGTAACCCACCCCATCGGCATGGCGCAAAGCAATGGTCATGCTATCAGGACCAGCTGCAAAAGCCTCCACAGACACATACAGTAGGATTCCTAGCAAAGCAAAGGACCTGTGACTTTTCACAGCAACGAGCATCGCAATTACAGATATATGCCGTGAATGTTGGGTTGATGATGGAGTACCTGGTACCTAAGTCCATAAGCCGCAGATGACCAGCTATAGCACACAAGACAGAGTGCTGCCTGCTCCGCTGCTTGGCCAGAACAATAAGTGCCTGGTCAGGTTCAACGGGGACGTGCCCAAGCCCTAAACTAAATAAACCACAACCGTAACCTGAAACCCTAAACCAACTCTGAGGACTCCCGGCAACTTCACACCTAAGGTTATGATGCTAACAGATCCGGAACCATCACTCTGACATTGTAATTGTGGCGAAACAACAGCAGTCTCAGCATCAGCAGCATCAGCGGTGGTGGTGGTGGTGGTGGTAGTGGTGGTAGTAGTAGTAGTAGTAGTAGCAGTAGAAGTACCCAGAGACTCCAAAACCCCTTAATTAAGGAATATACCTTAAATCATATTAGGCATCCTACTATAATTTAAAGTACAGTCCTTAATTAAGGGATTTTGGAGTCTTAGGGGAAGTACCTTTATAGCCCTGAACTTCGACATATCGCTTGAACGTCTGTTCTGGATCCGAGGTGGGCGTTCAGCAGTCTGCAGGCCGTGCTAGGCCTGCTCCAGTTAACATTCCCTAAGACTCCAATATCCCTTAATTAAGTAATATACCTTAAATTATAATAGGATCCCTAATATGATTTAAGGTATATTCCTTAATTAAGGGGTTTTGGAGTCTCTGGGTTAGCTTGACAAGCTTAGGCTTCTGGTGCGGAGGTCGTGCCACAAGAACCAACGGCGCACGGAACGCGAACCCCTGTCGGCCCTCTTCCACGATGTCCCACAAGACTTGAAGAAACCTAAAATTTTCATGTCAAATCAATCGAAATTGAATTAATTTCTAATTTTTTTTATGGAAGAAACTGCATTTCTTCTTTTTACGAGGTCGTTACGGGCTTTAGGGGCATCGAGAGTAACTACAGTGAGTCCAATGATAGAAAAAATAGCGGCGCAATCGTATGACCTGGATCAAGCCCCCTATAACCCTCGAAGAATGCTTGAAAGGAAGCCTTCTAGAACCCCCAAGCCCTAAAACGAACGTATAAAGGAACCCGCGAACCCTTCAAGAAGCCCTCATAGGAACCCTTACACGAACCCAACACCCTAATGTAGGGGCCTAAATAACTTCGAATCCTACTTTGGGCGTTCCTTATTATGACTATATTAGACTGGGCCCAACAACCCTATTCGAAGTATCAAGGCCCCTATAGCCCAAGCCCGTATAGAACCCTTTGAGGAACCGTTCGAAGGAGCCCGGAGGCCCAAAACCGTATTCTGATTAGTAAGGCCGTGTACTAAACTCTCGTAAGGGCCGAGCCGCCGCGGCACCCAGAGCCAGGCAGAGAGCGACACCAGCCTCAAAGAGACTCCAATATCCCGCTTAGAATATTTTAGATTATGTAAGGATTATAGTACCTCAAAATGGTTAAAGGTTTACAATGCCCTTATAGAACCCCTTTAGAGCCCTTACAGAAGCGCCTTATAATACCCTAAAGCCTAGCTACTCTACTAAGTTCATTGAGGGGTTTTGGAGTTTGGGTCTCGATGCAGGGAGCTCCAGCAGGCCGACTATGACATATGGATTCAGGCTCGTTTTAAAAACGGTTCTTTCTACGAAGGGGTCTATGCGGGTCCTATGAGGGTTCTACACCAGAGCGGAGGTTTTATTTTGCGTGTTTCGTGATACGGTGTAAAGGTTCTATCAGGGATTTATAAGGGTACTTATATGCGGTTTGGGTGCTGCTCCCATACAGTAAGAGGCTTTAAGAAGGCCACTGTTAAGGGCCGCATGTAGTCGCATTATTAATATTATTCAACTGACAATTTGGAGGTTCATGGGGCTTAGCAACTGAAGGGTTTGTTGAAGGGATCTATACGGGTTTATTTTCGGGTTTCCATCAGGGTGCAACAATGCTTCTCAGGGGTCTGTGGGCTTTATGGTTAGGGGACTTAGCAAGAAAAGTTATACGCACCTTAACTGGTGTATAGTTATTTTATTCTTAACTGTAGTTGCTAAGTCCCATAAAAAACTTCAGTATGTCATAATATAAAAGCCTTACTGGATTCCTGTAAAGGATTCTGTGCAGTTTACTGGAGATTTTCTTAGTTCAGGGGTCTTGAGAATTAGAATATGGCGTAGGGATTTGTTATCACAAACTTGTAACATCTTACAACAGGAAGTTTTGAGGACTGTAGTAGTCATTGTGTGATATGAAAGGATGCTGCCATGCACTGAGTGATCACCCTGTCCGCTGTTCAGTCAACATTCCTCCGAGAACGTACCCCCTAGACGACAACCCGACAGAAGCATCGTCTAGCTATGGGAGCAACACAAGCTGTCGAGCTGCTGCTTCTGCTGCTGCTACTACTACTACTACTACCACCACTAGTACTGCTACTACTTCTACTAGGAAAAACGGCCATCGCTGCTGGTACTGCCGCTACGACCAGGAATTATCAATAGTAAGAGCGACACTCACCATCAGGATGGTACTGATCGCACCATCATCGAGCGCTATCTCAGGCTCCGGCAATGGGCGGAAGGCGCGATCTGGCCGTGGACAGCTGCTGCTTCTCCTGTTGGGAGGGTTAGGGTTTAGGGTTTAGGGTTGAGGGTCAAGCTCAGGGTACTGTAGGATCTAAGGTTGAACCCATGAGCCCTAGGGTCCCTTAAGGGTACTTATAGGGTATATAGTAGGTATATTTGGGTCCCAGGGTTTAGGAGGGGTATGGGGGCCTGAGTAATTAGAATAGAGTTTTGGGGTACCTGAAAGGATAAAGAACACGAAAGAATAATATTGGTAGTTATTGAGGCCTCTATAGTAACCCTAAACCTAAAGCGGGAGCCTTCAATCAGTATCCATCGAGCATCAAAAGCTCTGTGGTGCTTCATGTCCCCAGAGACTCCAATACCCCTTAATTAATGAATATACCTTAAATTACAGTAGGATCCCTAATATGATTTAAGGTATATTCCTTAATTAAGGGGTATTGGAGTCTCTGGGTCTGCTGTTTCCCCTGCGAAACACTCGCAGCCTGCAGTTTAGGCCTTCAGTGCGCATGACCAGAGATGTACTACTCCTGTTGATGATATAGATCCTGCATTACTTTTTAGGGCCCTAAACTATGGGAATTATGGTATATTCCTTATTATGCGTAATGCAGGATTTATGTCATCAACCGTAGTCGAGGAACTTGCACAACACTCAAGGTTTTGAGAGCAGAAAGGTGCACCGAGTGATCAGGACAGGCAGCCGATCAGCTCAAGACCAAGAAGGTTTGTAACCCTAAACCCTGAACCCTAAACCCTAAACCCTAAACCTTCTAAGGTTGAACCCATGGGCCCCTAACATGGGCCCTCAGGGTCCCTTTAGGGTATATATATAGGGTATATAGTAGGTATATTAGGGTCCCAGGGTTTAGGGCCCATACTAGGGGCCCATGGGTTCTACCGTAGATTTATGGTTTCGGCTTCTAGAGTTTAGGGTTTAGGGTTCTAGACTTTCGCAACAATCCAGCGAGCCAATTACCCTTTTGATTTACCAAGATACCTTGAACCACAATATTCTGGTCCCTAGAATCTGAGGTCTATTCCTTCCTGTAGGAATTTTACCTTGAACCACAATATTAAGGCCCCCAGAATTTGAGGTCTATTCCTGCATTAAGGTGTCTTGGGCTCTCTGGGAACTTGCTCTTCGTGCAGACTCGCAGCCTGCCTTACTTGGAGGTTCATGGGACTTCGTAAGTACAGCCTTAATTGGGGTTATAGCTATAGTATGGTTACCTTATTCCCATCGCTCCATGTACCTTTATAGTTACTTAAGCCTTAAAGGGGTCCCTGTAGGGCTTAAGTATCTATTCTAAAGGTGCATGGAGCCTTTGGGATTTATATCCCCAGTTACTAAGTCACATCAGCCTGGAAGTAGGCAGTGCAGCATGGAGTCTCAGATAAACCCTAAACCCTAAACCCTAAACCCTAAACCCTAAACCCTAAACCAAGAACCCAGGGGCTCCAAGACCCCTTCATTCAGGACGAGGACCTCGCAGGGCTTCTTTAAAGGGGTCTATAAAGAGCTTCTAAAACGGTTTCTCTAAGGGTACTACAAGAATCAAAGGGACCTATAAGGGGATCTATAAGGGCTTCTAAGAGGGTTTCTAAATGGTTTCTGTAAGGGTACTATAAGAATTAAGGAATATGACCTTAAATCATATTCGGCAGCCTTCTTTCATCTGAGGCCTATTCCTTAAATAAGGGATATTGGAGTCTCTGGGAACAAGGACTCCTTGGAGGTTCATGGGACATATAAGTGGGGTCATAACCAATGACAAGCTAGTATTGGATATTACGAGTGTAGTGAACGTACTTATTACCCCAGTTACTAACTCCGAAGTACCTTTAAGTAGACCCTAGACTCCAGACCATCAAAACTTGAAGGTAGCCCAATTAAGCCCTAACCCTAAACCCTAAACTCTAAACCCCAAAACCCCCCCCCCCCATTAAGCCCTATAGCAACCTTACAAGAAACCATGAACCCTACCGTGTTGTCTGCTTGCATATCCTTAGGGTTTATGGTTTAGGGGTTTAGGGTTTAGGGTTTTGCATATCCTCTGTTTCGACTGAACGGAAGCCCACTGCAACTACTCAGCTGCCTGTGGAACCGAAACCTACCAGCTAAACCCGACACCCTAAACCCTGAATGCCCAAAACTAAAAACAACGACAACCCTAAAAGCCCTAAGCCCTAAGCCCAAAACCCTACTCCCTAATCAAGGGATGTTGGAAGATCCGACTTAGCTCCTAAACCCCCAAACCCCTAAACCCTAAACCTTAAGCCCTAAACCCTAACCCCTAAACCTTAAGTCCTAAACCCTAAACCCCTAAACCCTAAACCCTAAACCTTAAGCCCTAAACCCTAAACCCTAAACCCCTAAGCTCTAAACCCTAAACCCGAAAGTCTTCGCTCCTCCTGGCGGCCAGGCTCCAGTTTGGACACTTCGTACCTGCTTGGAGGGTCGGGGGACTCAGAAAATGGTTACTTTGTAGACTTATCAGGTTTAGAGTTTAGGGTTTTGGGGTTTATAGGGTTTAGGGTTTAGGGTTTATAAGGTTTAGGGTTTAGAGTCCCTTTTAGGGTCCTTATAAGTCTACTTACTACCTACTTACTAATTCTCCCAACCTGCGGGGGTTTAGGGCTTTGGGCGTTAGGGCTTAGGGATCGGGACCCTAAACCCTAAACCCTAAACCCTAATTAACCCCTAAACCCTAAACCGTAAAACCCAAAACCCTAAACCGTAAACCCCTAAACCCGAAACCCCTAGACCCGAAACCCCTAAACCCTTAAACCCTAAACCACAACGGGTTTAGGGTTCAGGGATCTTTCTGGGCGAGGGCTTGGCGTAGGTTGAAGGTTTAGGTCTTGCTTCGGGGGATGAGGTCTTGGGGATTGCGGTGGCTTTGAAGGTTTAACCGGCTTAGGGTTTAGGGTTTAGGGTTTAGGGTTTAGGGTTTAGGGATTAGGGTTTAGGGGTTTAGGGTTTAGGGTTTAACGTAAGGGTCTGAAATAATTAGAACACCGCTTTAGGCTAGACTTAGCAAATGATGCGCTTCATATGGAACCCTGACGAAGAGTATTGGTAGTTACATAGGCCACTACATTTCACAACTGCCTGTTTTTGCCAACGTTGAAGTTCGAAGCATTTGAGCGGAGTGTTTCATCTGGCATAACAAGGCTTCGTATTTTGTCAGGTGCTGGTGGCAGCGCTGAAAAGGACGCCACAAGAGTTTTAAGCAATGAAGCGCATTTGCACCATGTACGTCTTTACCTTGATGCAACTTGCAGCTGAGCCTGCACGGCGCTACTGTCTCCACCAGATGTCGCATCACCCCAAGTCACGACAGATCCATCACCAAGAATGGCAGCGAAAGCACTCCTAGAGGCTTGGATCTGCTGTACATTCTTCAGCTGATCCTGCACAGCGCTACTGTCACCGCCAGAGCCAGCACCGCCCCAGGTCACTACAGATCCATCGCCAAGAACGGCAGCAAAAGCATAGTCAGAGGCTTGAATATGCTGCACATTCTTCAGCCCACGCGGGACAGCAATTCTGTCGTCACCCCAGGTCACGACAGATCCATCTCCAAGAATGGCAGCAAAAGCGTAGTGAGAGGCCTGAATCTGATGCACATTCCTCAGCTGATCCTGCACAGTAGTGCTGTCGCCACCAGCATGGGGGGCACCCCAGGTCAAAACCGAACCATCTGCGAGAATGGCGGCAAATGCTCCGAGATCCACGCCATAAGTAGCTTGGATCTGCTGCACATTCTTCAGCTTCTCCTGCACATCACTGCTGTCACCACCATAGAAGTCATCACCCCAGGTCACGACAGATCCGTCGCTAAGAATGGCAGCAAAAGCACCGTAACTAGCTTGGATCTGCTGCACATTCATCAGCTGATCCTGCACAGCACTACTGTTACCGCCATTGGCTGCATCACCCCATGTCACGACTGATCCATCGCCAAGAATGGCAGCAAAAGCGAAGCCAGCGGCTTGGATGTGCTGCACATTCGTCAGCTGATCCTGTAACGCACTGCTGTCACCGGCAGGGTCCTCCTCTCCCCAGGTCACGACCGATCCATCACCAAGAATGGCAGCAAATGCGCCGTAGCTAGCTTGGATCTGCTGCACATTCTTCAGTTGATCCTGCACATCACTGCTGTCACCACCATTGGATGCATCCCCCCAGCTTACGACCGATCCGTCGCCAAGAATGGCAGCAAAAGCGTCCGTGGAGGCCTGGATCTGCTGCACATTGTTCAGCTGATCCTGCACAGCGCTACTGTCACCGCCAGAGCCAGCACCGCCCCAGGTCACTACAGATCCATCACCAAGAATGGCAGCAAAAGCATGCTCAGTGACCTGAATGTGCTGCACGTCTTTTAGCCGGTCGCGCACAACACTGTGATCACCGCCATGGTAGCAACCACCCCATGCTACAGCTGACCCATCGCCAAGAAGAGCGGCAAACGAGCAGTTGTAAAGGCTTGCGGAACCTTGAACTTGAACTCGGTTTATGTGCAATGTGAAGGAATCGTCCGTTTGCACCCTGGCTTTCTTGATTTGCACACACGCGTCTAGAGCATTTCCAGATGAGTCCAGGAGACGCCCGTTGCCGACTCCGAGGGCGGTTTGCGCTCGTCGTTTCAAGCTTCCCACATCTTCATCCAAGCCGGCTTGCACGGTAACTGTCCTGCCGCTGAGCAACCCAACCTTCACAGTCACCGACATGTTGCGTGCTGTTGCATTGTCCTGCACGATGTTCTGGACGTAATGTGATTAAGATAAAGACTACTCGTCTGCACACCGCTCGTCTCCATATATTTCATAGTCGCAACGAAGCTGTACAGACTATTCGAGCAGGGATGCCAGCCGAAAATGTGTGTCATCCCGGGTTTAGGCTGGTTTAGATGGGCATGGAAACCCTAAATCCTGAACCCGCAACCACTAAATATTGCAAGACACTCAACCTTATGCTCGGGCGGTAGTTGCGTTCAGTTGTTCAAAGTAGGTTAGTTGATGGTTTCGGGCTTGTCGGCGCGGTTTTCGGGGCTTCGCATACACGAACCAAAAACAGCACTGATTAAAGGAAGCCATGATTTTGAACACTCCCCATTTGCAGGTATTGAGCAATCAGCGCCGGCTGAGGTTCTGGTACAACAAACAAAGGCAACGGCAAACGATACGTTCGAGACTTCGAAGATGATGCGGACCAGCTTGCAAGACGCAAGCATTGGCGGACTTCCACCATGCCATTGGCACGCACGACACTACTCACATGCCAGGCGCAAAGGAAGCAGCTGCCTTTCACGATCCCAGCAGGCACGAAGATGCACGCGCACACACACACACACACAGACACGCAGACACGCAGACACAAAGGCGCACAGGCGCACACACACCCACACACACACACACACACGTAAGTACAGCAACGGATGATGAAGTAGAAACTCCAGGTGCCCGGGAAAAAACACAACCGAGCCAACGCTTTCGTGTTTAAGCCTTTTGAAGTTGTGTTGTCATCAGACCGGCCAGGGGCAAGGATAGAAACAACAAGAATCGCAGCCTTAGGAATAGATCTTGCACTTCTTCGAATGCTGCCTCCGGATCCTCTTGCCTTCAAACCGGACTGTAAGAAATCGTACTGCAAACGGGCTCCTTGACGATGTATCCTATCAGGGTCACCTGCATTGGATACCTGTCTGTAACCTACTTCTCCCAACAGCTATCACATCACAACTGACAGAAACTGTTGCCCTAAACCCTAAACCCTGAACCCAAAACTCCAAAATGTACTCTTATGAACTGTTGTCCTAACCGAAAGCCATATTCCCATTCCGTAGGACTGCTGCTGGCAGTCCCACTCCTGTTCTCGTTCGGGACACAAGGCTGCTCTTTGATTAGAAGTAGCTTTACATGTCTTAGAAGTCTGTCAGGCCTGTTGAAATAGGTTTTGCATAAAGTAGCATCCCTGAGCCCGAAACCCCAAACCCTGAACCCTAAACCCTATAGGGTTATGTAGAGGCCCAGAAGGTTCAAGGGCCTGAACAAGTAGGGTTCTGGAGTGCCTTTACAGGGCTCCTTAAAAAGCTCTATAAGGGCTACCATGAGGGTTTAGGGGAAAGGGGGCCTTCATAGTTGGAATAGGGTGTTGGGCTTCTTTTTTGTCTAGCT